TTTTTGCTCAAGGTTGGTGCTCTACCACTTGAGCCATGCTTCCCTTCTGGCTTTTTTGGTGGTTCTTTGCCTGGTTTGGCTTTGAACTTCCATCCTCAGATCTCATCTTCCCAAGTAGCTAGGAATACAGGTGTAAGCCACAAGTGCCTGGTGATCGAGACATTCTTAAAGGAAGCCTTCTCCGCTTTTGAGTGCTTGCAAATCATCTCAGGGTCTGACGTGGAGGGTGATTGCATGGCCAAGCCCGGCAGAGGGCTGGGTCTGGGATGGGTTCCATCTCTAATACAGGGAACACTAGTGGCATGGCTAGATACAGAAACAACAACAGCAAAAACACACATGGCTCCGCCCTCAGGGAGCTTCAGTGAGGGGCAGACTGAGCAGAAAGGCTCAGCTTGATTCAGGGATTCCAAGACTGTTCTTGGAGGAGGACCTGCAGGCCTTTAGCATCTGAGTGCTATTACCAAGCAGCAAGACAAGCTCTTATGTACAACAGCAGCCCTAGAACAAGCCAAGATGCAGGGCCGAGATCTTTCCTTATGTGCCCCTCTGTGTTAGTTTACTTATTCAGAATCCAATGCAATCTTCTCCAATCGAACTCCATTGAGGGTTTTGGTTTTTGGTGCCAGTACTGGGGCTTGAACTCGGAGCCTGGCAAGTGTTCTTCAGCTTTTCGCTCAAGGTTAGCAGTCTACTACTTGAGTTACAGCTCCACTTCGAGCTTCTTTGTGTCTAGTAGTCTCATGCTCTTTCCTGTTCCATCTGATATCAAACCATGATCCTCCCATCTCAGCCTCTACGTTAGAATTACAGACATGAGCCACCTGTGCCTGGCATGTTTTTTTTGTTGTTGAAAACAGTGTTTCATTATAGGTCAAACTAGTTTAGAACTCACCTTTTAACACAGGCCGGCCTCAAACTCAAGATCCTCCTGAAACAGCCTCCTGTATGCTGTGCTTACATTATTAAAAGAAATGAAGAATGCTTTTTAGAAGGTGTAATTCATGAGTCTCTTCCCTGCCATGAAGAAGGAATGTTCTATTTGCTTCATTGCCTACAAACCAGGCCATACAGACTCAACATTTCTTTGTGGAGCAGTTTGTAAGGGAAGAATGTTCTGAGTTTACAAGGCCCTCCGTGCATTTTGAGAGGAGATTTTCATATTCCACGTATTTCCTTCTTTGGATCTTTCTATTTATGGGTTGATTTAAAAATAAAACTCTGTAGCAGAAGGGCTGTGAACCGTGAGTTCCACATCTCGAGACATCAGTCATTTTAAAGGGAATATTTTTTTAAAAAGGAAAGGAAATTAAGAAGAACATAGTTTGGTTTTAAGATGACAGGAGTTGCTGTTTACCAGAACTTAAGAGACACATTTTCTCTTAAGAAAAAACTAAACCAGGCGCCAGTGGCTCATGACTAATTCTAGCTACTCAGGAGGCTGATCTGAGGATCAGAGTTCAAAGCCAGACCTGGCAGGAAAGTCCATGAGCCTCTTCTCTTAGTTAACCATCAAAAAGGCAGAACTGGAGGTCTAACTCAAGTAGTAGAGCATCAGCCTTGAGTGAAAAAGTGAATAGCACCCAGTCCCTCAGTTTAAGTCCTAGTATCCACACAAAACAATCATTCCTTCTTGAAATTTTTCCTTGAAGATAGGCGTCATCAACGTATTGGTTTCCTTTCATGCTGGTACTGGGTTCCAGGTGTTTTTGGTGGTTAATTGCAGGTAGGTGTCTCTTAAATCTGTCCAGACTGGCTAGAAACCAGATCTCAGATTCCTGAGTAGCTAGGATTACCGGTGTGAGCCACCTATGCTGGGCTCATCTTCATTTTGAATGATTGTCATTCTGATTCTTTTTAGTATTACTTAAAAATTGCAGTGTCTGGGAACGAGGAAAGGAGGCAACATTGTCCAAAAGAAAATGTATTCTTTGCCTGACTCATGTAAGTGTAATCCTTAATAAATTTATTTTTGCCATTCCTGGAGCTTGAACTCAGGGACTGGGCGCTATCCCTGATCCCCTGTGCTTAAGGCTAGTGCTATACCACTGGAGCCACAGCGCCACTTCTGGTCTTTTCTGTTTATGTGGCATGGAGAAATCCAACCCAGAGCTTCATGTATCCTAGGCAAGCACTCTACCACTAAGCCACTTTCCCAGCTCGTTAATAAAGATTTTTAAATAATTAAAAAAACTGCAAGTGAATAGAATCTGTTAGAGGCTATGTGATGTATAACCCTACTATCATCCTCTTGGGCTTTCTTAGTCAAACACACAGCAGGTGCTTTTAAAGCCTTTCCTTGGACTTGAGAATTCCTCCAAAGGCCTTTGCTTTTCAACTCCTGACTTTTGTACATGCTTCTGCACTTCATAAGCACAAGTTCTTCCCTGCCATCAGTAGCAACTGAAATGAGCTTCTTTGATTTGTCTCAACCATTCCTAAGGTCTCCTGCTGTCCTGAGGTTATCTTCCCTCTTGGCTTCCAGCTTTGGTTATTTCATTTTGTAAGCTACTTTTTAAGACTATCAGGTCACAAACCTGAGTATTCCAAGAATCTTAGCAACTTCCTCATTTAAAGTCATTTAGGGGGTGGGGAAACCCTCATCAGCTTGCCCTAAAATTTAATCCCTCTCCTCTCCTGCAGCTGGTCACCAAAACAATTCTCCAGACATCCATAAGCATCTGAGCTCCTTAATATTAGCTGTTTACCTAACAGAAATAAGTCTGAAACAACCCATGCAATCAGATCATGAAGGCATATTCTAAAAAGCTGCATTAAAATGAATTTAAAGAGAGCCAAAGGGGAAGTCTATTTGTCCAGAGTCCTGTAGCTTACAGCTATACTCCTAGCTACACAGAGAAGGCTGAAATCTGAGGCTCTGTTCCAAGCCAGCCCAGGCAGGAAAGCTTAGGGGACTCCAACTCAAGTGGTAGAGCACGAACCATAAATAGGGGGGGAGGGGAATTATAGGACATTATGGGACAGTAAGTTCAAACCCCAGCATTCACACATGTGTACACACACACACACTCCTGTTAATGGTATTGATGTATTCTATAACCAAGTTATTAGGTTGCCAGGACCTTCTCAACTCAACATACCTTCAATCTCTCTTGGTCAAGGTGGAAATCTCTCCGGCGTAACGATTTTGTGGATAGTTACAGCTATGTGGTATAGTTGTTCTAGCACCTTCATCCCATTTGCTCAAAGAAAACATGGCATAGTCAGGATTAAGCATGTATTTATTTTAGTTCAGTTAAAACAAACATTGTTTCATTGAAACTGGTGTAAGCACTCTTCGCCAACAAGCCACACTGGAATTGTCGGACCTAACAGTACAGTGGGACCTATTTACACTATATACACACCAAGCTGACACACCCAGGACTTCCAAGGGCTTTACCACACTACATCACATTTGATTTCACTGTAGGTCACATTTAGGTAATTACTGCATTTTGAAAAATTTAGACCAGACTTAAAATTTTTGAACTCTCACCCAATTTTCATGGGATGGGGAGGGGCGATCCAATATCCAGTTTATCGCCAGATAAACAAGTATCTTAAATGTTTAGTATTTGTACTCAATGTTGATTTTTTTTTAATATGAAATTCTCTGTACAAGTACTTTTTTTGGGGGGGGGGTTGAACTTCAATATGTCAATTCATCAAAATGCAGTTAAGTTACATGTATATATACACTCGAACCCAAGACCCAATCCTGACATTATATACAGCCTATTTACAAATACACAGACAAGACAATATATGTACATAAGGTTATCATAAATATTGAAAAATAGGTTAGCTTTAATGGATTGATGCTGTTCTATAAATAACATTACAGTTACAACTGACATCTATGGAAGACAGTAATGCAAAATGAGGTGACTGCTCCTTAGTGGAAATTCACTGTTTGGGAAATCTCAAGGCAGACAAGACAGCTCCAAAAAAAAACCTCACAGCTTGATTTTGAACCTCAATGAGCCAAGATTAGGGGAAGCTTCTCCCATGAAGATGATTCGGTTGTTTCATTCCTTCTCGGTTGCCATTGTACATTCTCCCATACAAAAGGATGTAAACTGTAGAGAATTGTTTTCCTCTTGCAAGATCTCTTCAGGAATTCTTTCCCAAGAGTTCCAGCAGAAGTGCCAGCTCTCAGAACTGCTGGACTAGGAACAGAGCGCACACAGCCCCATCACACGAAAAGCAGAGTTGAGGCAATCTGTCTGCTCACAACGGTTGGAAGATGGTCCCCAGTTATCTTTGTAGAAACAAAAATGGACCACTGCTTTCTTTTTAACCCAATGTAGCACTACAAGACGTCTTCCAGTTCTGCAAGGGTGTTCAATCAATCACAGACACAATTTGTCTGTCAATCGAGTCACATATAATACAAGAATGTGTAACAAAAACCATGTTTGCCTCACTTCTGGCCCTCACCTCCAAGTACAAAACGTTTAGTTCAAGACTAACCTTAAGAGCTAGACAATCAATTGATTCCATTACTTGCTTCCCTCAACCATTTAATGGAATTATGTATATTAGGTCTTAAACATTACGCTGGATGGGCAAAGTACCACATTATTGGAGAATATATTCACCAGTCACCGTTAACATACAGTAAATGTGCTCTGAAAGCCAAAGTAATGTTTCCACCTCTCACTGCAATTGAAATGGAAAGGTGAACATGCAGTTGGACCAAGATCTAAGAACCAGGTTGCACTGTTTTTCCCCCAGGTAATCATTTGCTGGATGTAAACAAATTATTTCTGTGTTGTACAAGAAGGAAATTACAGTCCTTTGCGAAGATTTTTTGGGGGGAAGGCGGGGATGAAGAGGGTGCTGGCACTGGGGTGCTTGAACTCAGGGCTTGGGTGCTGTCCCTGAGCTTTTTCACTCAAGGCTGATGCTCTACCCCTTGAACCACAGCTCTACTTTTGGCTTTTTGTTGGTTAATTGCAGGTAAGAATCTCAGACTTTCCTGGCAAGGCTGGCTTTGAGCCATAATCCTCAGATCTCAAGACTTGAGTAGCTAGCTAGGATTTGATTATAGGCATGTGCCACCAGCACCAGGCCAAATTGAGTCTTATTTTTAAAAGCTTGCTGTGTAAGTAACCCAATATCCTGATGAACAGAACTTGTACTATACCAAACATCGGCGTAACCAATGAATAAAGACCACTACTGTGAAGACAAAACACATACACGACTAAGCCGCACATTGTCAAGTAAATCACACTTCCAGTAAATGAGCATTTTGCAAAGTTGTACTCTGGATATTTGGCCTGTTGCCATCAAATGCCCATTTTCCACTGCTAGAAGCAATTTTTTTTTTTTAAAAAGGGCTGGCCCAGAGCTGTCAATACAATTCTGTAGACAGATGCAACTGAATAAACCCTGTTTTACCCAATTGCACTCTATTTGGTACCTCAAAAAAAATCAGTCATTTTTATTTCCCATAGAAATATCTTCCATTGTGTCCATCCTCACATTTCAATCTGAATAAACCATATTATTTGCAGACAGAATGAACAGATTTCAACCCGACTTGGTGTAGCAATCATCAAATACTCTTTAAACAAATTTCAATGGGAAAAAAAAAAAAAAGCTCCTAATTCATAGGTCTTTTTGCTTTGTTACATCATTTTCTCTAAAAATTATTTTGGGTAAAAAAGTATTTGGCTTTTTATAATGCCTACAAAAAAGGCAAATCATTTCATAATACTAACATTTGTTTTTAAATACCAATGAAGTCATTTTACGGAATTTATTGTCAACTGTTTGTGGAGAGTTCAAAAACAGAAAGCAATTTCTTAAAAGTAAAATAGTGCTTCTGAGGTCTTGAAGTATCTTTTTCTTTTTGGTACAAAAAAATAATAAGCATTTTTTCCCCCTCAACGGTTTTCTCAATACTTTGCTCTAAATGAACATTTGTTTCTCACATCGAATGGTTCCATTAGGCACATTCAAGTAAAATCATAAAATATCCAAGTTAAACAATGACACAGCCAAGCATGTGGCTTGATAAAAGTTAAAGAGTCTGTCCATTCTCTGGAATGGAATAAAATTGTCACTTCCCTTAACCCGAGACTCGTGGTTTTGTTGTCAAGATTCCTAACATACAGATTAAGTTTCTTTAAAAAAAACAAAAACAATAACAATAATTAAAAAATTAAAAAAAAGTTCACTTATTCTGCATCCAGAAGAACCAGCGAGGAATCTGCACTTCAAAAGGAAGTGAACGGAAAACATCAGGTGAAATTTCATAGTAGTTGAGAATGACTCAACACTGGCACATCATCCGAGGGATGATTTTGAGTTTCAGCGGTACCAATTAAGGGCCACCTGCAGGGGGGTTGTGTACCCAATCCAGGACAATCAGAGCCATGCTTCCAATCATCACCACCACACCACTGATCAGGAAAAGCAGAGCCTGCAAAAAGCATAGAGAAAACCCATCAGTAGGCAGAGGGCAAATGCAAAATATCTCTCTATAAGGTAGCTGATGTATTTTACATGTCTACATAAAAATGTGCAAGTGGGGGAATATTCCTATACTTTCCACGTGTTTGGGGTAATTTCCCTTTGTATTTGGTTGCCTCAAATATAAAGCAAATTTTCTTGCTGAACAAACTTGGGCTTCAACTCAAGAGTCTGCACAGTCCCTTAAGCTGTTTCACTCAAGGCTAGTACACTAACACCTAAGCTTTAGTACCACTTGCAGCTCTTTAGTGGTTAACTGGAGATAATCTCACTTTCCTGCCTAGGCTGGCTTCAAACAACCCTCAGATCTCAGCCATATGAGTAGCTAGGAATACAGATATGAGCCACAGGTACCCAGCTTAAACTGTTTTATATAAAGCTGGCATAGCATGTGTTTTTGTGCTGGTACTGAGGTTTGAACTAAGGGTGTCCCAAAGCTCTACCATTTGAGCTTCTGGCTTTTTGCTGATGAATTGAAGATGAAAGTTCTCACATTCGTCTGCCTGGGCAGGCTCAGGAACCATGATCCTCAGATCTCAGCCTTCTGACCAGCTGAGATTATTTGCAATTCTTACACAAATCACAAAGGTCAAACATAAGTCAACTTAAGTGAAAAGCCAATTCTTCTTGAGAGCCATGAATTACATTTCTTCCTTGTCTCTCTCCAATTACTAACTCTGTATATATACGTTCTATGAATTAAACAAGATGGCACTTGCTAGTTCATAGCCACGTGCTTTTAAATCAGACCAGAATGGTAGTGACACATTATGATAACTGAAAAGCCGTCTCTCCCCCTAAATATAGCCAGTAGGATTTTGCTTTCAGAAGCATGTTTTGTGGTTCACGTATACTGTATGCCACCAATTCTTCTTACACTGTAAACACACAATACTGATCTTGCTTTGAGGATTGTCACTTCTCATTCCACTCAACTATTCTTGTTTTTTCTACATTTCTTGTCTATTTCTTGCCCATCACACAGGAGGCTGGCAAATGTTGAAAACTGGGTCAGTACTTTTATTATCCTTCTCTTTATCTCCAACTTTCTTGCAATGAAGTACTTGGATGGCAAACTACACTCTCAATCCATTTTCTGTCAAGTTTATTGCTTCAAAAATGTTTACTAGGAACTTCAACCATGAAACTGTTAACACTGACAGAAAACTTTTAACACTTGTAACACTTTTAACACTCAGGAAGGCTGAGATCTGATCATTTTCTCTGAAGCTACCCCAGCAAAAAGTCAGAAGTGATGGTGGTGTGGCTCAAGTGGCAAAGCGCCAGTGTATGAGGCCCTGAGTTATAGCCCCAGTACAACACCTAACATGAATATCAGATGGGAGAATTTCTGAGTTAAAGCGTCACTGCTGGTTCTATAGCTGTCTTTCACTTACCCCCATCTTCTGTACAGTTTTCATTGGTTCCTTCTTTACCAACTTGATATAGAAGGCAGATGGGAGAATAAAAATCAGCATAGCAGCTGCCGAGGCACCTGTAAAAAACATTTACCATTTCTTGAGTATGAATCATTTCCCTTTTGTTAAGCATTTCACAGCTCTAAGCATTTGAACCTAAACTTACCAATGAAACCAAAGATATCTCTTATATCTGGGACAAAGATGACAAGCAAGTTAGTAAATCCCAAAATGCACAAGGTAATGAGAGTATGCCTCCACCAAGAGAAATCTTTTGCTGCACATAGCAATTGTGTCACAGAGCTCCGGATCTGGGGAAAAGAGAAAGATGGAAATACATAAACGACACCCAGTTTTAAATAACAAAGATTTTTCCAAATGATAAGGCTTTATTTTTTTTTAAAGAAAAATGGTGCCCTTTCCTTTGCTGTTAAAGATCACCAGTTACAGAGAACCTTACACTAGTCTTTATACTAATGGCTCATGCCATTATCATGGTTTGAAACTAGTCCAGACAAATAAATTCAAGAGATTCTTAATTCTAATTAACTAGCAAAAAGGTAAAAGTAGAGGCGTGGCTCAACTGGTAAAGGCCCAGTCTTGAGCAAAAAACAAGTCAAGTGAGAAAAAACAAGAGGCCCTAAGTTCAAGCTCCAGTATTACTGATGTACACACACACACACACACACACACACACACTCCCTACTGAAAGAGCAGGTAATCATACTTACTGGAAAAATAACCACTGGTACTGTCAGGGTGACAGCCATCAACACAGCCAGACGGACAATAAGAAGAAGAATATCAGTTTTCTTGACAGAAGAGTAGGTATGAAGCAATTCTGGCTCAACATGTTCTAAGGAGGGAAAAACCAGATAAGCTGTCAGTGTGTGGTTTTCTCTGGGGATCAAATAAATCTAACTTACAGTAAAATCAGTACTAAAATTATTAGCTACTCAGAAAATGGCTATGAACTAAGAGGCTAATAAGATTAATTTGGAATTATGGCTAATGCAATTAAACTAACATTGAAGGGAAATTTTTCTAAATACCAAGTAGAGATTTAGCCACATGATCTCCATTAAAAACAACAGAATCAAAATAGCTAAATCCCATGGTTTGGCTTAGTTTTTGTATGTGTTGTACAGTTAGAAGGTGATAAGAAACTGGTATGATCAATTTATCAGACAGAGGCAAGGATATTAAACAAACATGCCCTCCACCCTGGTCTCTAATGTGATCTATGCCAAATCAGATGGATATTTAAATGGTCAACCTATGCCCAATTTCTACCAAACACCTGTCCAAACACCTGTGGCTGACATCTGTAATCCTAGCTAATCAGGAAGTTCAGATCAGGTTTGCAGCTCAAAGCCAGTCCATGTAAAGTTCATGAAACTCTTATCTCCAATTAAATACCAAAAACCCCGGTGGTGGAGCTGTAGCTCAAATTGGTAAGAGCACTAGCCTTGACTGGAAAGTCAAGCAAGAGTGTGAGGTCCTGAGTTCAAGCCCCAATTATCAACACTACATACCCACAAAGAAAAAAAAATCTAAAAATAAGCCATCAATTTCACTATTCTTAAAAGACTAAAAATAAACCATCAATTTAATTAAATGATTTAAAACATCATTTACCATAAAATGTCAGGTATCCAAAGAGGGCAGCAAACAGGTACATGAGGAACATTGCGAAAAATGAAATCTTAGACACATTCATCATTCTCCTCCGGCTTCGGCTATATAAATCCAAAGGAAAACAAATATGTCATCTTAGCAGCAGTTATAAAACTACTATCTAGTACATTCCCAAAAAATTTATATAAAAATAAAGCACCCTTTCAGCTCCTCATAGATGGGAAGAACAGCAGGGTGGCAGACGAAAGAAAATGTCAGAATTGGCACTGCATACACAGTCTGCAAAAAAGAAAAGGCACCACTTAATCACTTCATGTAATATACTGAAGCAACTTTCTCACCAATGCTTTACGCTATCTTGGAAACAAAGCCTACAATTAGTTTCCCTCCATTCTCCAACATCTATTCATTATGTGGGGTCAATCTCCTCACTTTAGTGTGAACTGGTGATTTTGGTTTTCTTGTGTACCAGTCCTGGGGTTTAAACTCAAGGCCTGTGTCCCTGAGCCTTTTTTTTTTTTTTTGCTCAAGGCTAGAACTCTACCGCTTCAGCCACAGCTCCACTTCTGGCTTTTTGGTAATTAACTGAGGATAAGAATCTCATGGGAAGCCGGGCGCTGGTGGCTCACGCCTGTAATCCTAGCTACTCAGGAGGCTGAGATCTGAGGATCGCCGTTCAAAGCCAGCCCGGGCAGGAGAGACCGTGAGACTCCTATCTCCAATAAACCACCAGAAAATCAGAAGTGGCGCTGTAGCTCAAGTGGTAGAGCGCTCGCCTTGAGCTGAAGGACAGTGCCCAGGCCCAGAGTTCAAGCCCCACGACCCACCAAAAAAAAAAAAAAAGAGAATCTCATGGGCTTTCCTGCCTGGGCTGGCTGTGAATTGTGATCCTCAGATCTTAGTCTCCTGAGTAGCTAGGATTACAGGCAAGAGCTACTAACATGACTGTGACTAAGTTTTATTCTGAAACAAAGCCACACTTGCTTTACAGTGGTCAAAAACTAAACTGTGCTTTTTTTTTTTTTTTTAATACTCCCTTCACTTTAGAAGTTATTTAAAAAAAATCTCTAGTGGGGAGTTTCCCACTTTCCTTCCCTAAATCTTATAGATTGAATAGTTACCTGAGAGTTGAAGATAAAATATCGAGGTTTGCAAGTGTCTGCTCCAGTGACATTTAAGCCCAATTCAGATGCAAAAGCTGTTGGGTGTGTTAGAGTGTTGTTCATTGTTTCATTAAGTATTAAAGCAAATTCCAAAGGACAAGGAATCTGAAATTTCTTGCAGATCACCTGAAAACATATTTTGTTTGCATTTGTTCAATTAAACAGTGTAAGAAGAATTATAAAGAACATTTTCTATAGAGACAAAGGGTACCTACCACAATCAGAAAGAACATCATACACAATAAGGAAAGGCCACTGGTATATCCCAAATATCCTACAAGAGAAGGGGAAAAAAACCACCATTAATTAACTGTAATATGGGAACATGGGGGCAAATGTCTTTATTTGAGTTTCAATGAATAATGCAATTCTTCAGACTTGGGGCACTTTCTGAACAGAATATCCAATTCTATTGAAAGGGGGGGTGACATGGATCAAGATATATTGCATTTATAAACTGCTCTGTTAAATGTCAACTCCTTTACACAGCTTCTTAAAGACAGTTGTAAAATAAATAGAAGTTTAAAAAAGGAATAAAATACAGGCTGAATTCTAGTCCACTAAGGTATCTATTTCCTGTAACCAAAACCCTAATAAAAACAAAAACTATCATCCTGTATTATTTACAAAGCACAGGCTGTAACAGTTGTCAATGAGGTACACTGGGTCTGGCACAGATTTCTAAAGATAAACACTTAGAGGATGACCTTTATTTAAGCTACCAGAGTTTCTAATAAGAGTTATCCAACCAACTGGTATGGCATTAATGGAGTCTGCTATGGGATACAGGTTGTGGCTCAAGTGGTACAGGCTATGAACCTAGAAAATAAAGGGAGAGAGGGAAGGTGTTACTCACCTAAATTTCTTAGCAGCGACAAAGGAAGAATAAGCACCAGTGACACCAGCAAAACCAAATAGTCCCCTTCGAGATACCATTCTCTGAATTAAAAAGAAAACATGAAACAAGATCAAAACTAGTTAGACAATATGCACATCTTCTAATAGTAGATTCATTTCTAGACATACTAAAACAGTAAACACACAAAGAAAGAAAAGTTTTGACACCAGGTGTTGGTGGCTCATGCCTGTAATCCTAGCTAAGGAGGCTGAGATCTGAGGATCATGGTTTGAAGCCAGCCCTGGCAGGAAAAGTCTGCAAAAGGCCAAAAGTGGTTCAAGTGGTCAAGTGCCAGCCTTGAGCTAATGGACAGTGCTAAGGACCTGAGTTCAAGCCCCAATACTGGCCAATACACAGAAAAAAAATAAAGCACAATTGTGGAGACACTATAACTTTTTAACTCTGTTTGCTGGATGAATATGTATTCAGGTTAAAAAATGGGGTATGGAAACAGTGGGACTTTTGTTTTGTCCCACTGTTTGCTCTGGGAAGAGAGCCAGCAGATTCATAACATGAAATGCTTCATAAAGGCTAGATATGAATGCCAGGCACAAGGCTGCATTGTGAAGCCAGTAAGCCCATCTTTAAAAATGTATGCCAACTGAGTTATAGCTTTAGCTTACCATTTGTAATAACACGCTAAACATAAGGCAATGTTGCAAAAGATTTTTGGATTGTTTTTTTCCCCCAACATTTGTTAGCAAGTATACTCACTAAACATTTCAATTAGAAACGGTCTCACACTTAAGATTAAAATGCATAGGGAAAACCCCTAAAAAAAAAACACAAACCAAAAACCTAGTTATCAGTTGTTATGCGTTGATTCACCTTGACTCACTGTGATGGCTTCATTCACCTTGACTCCAGAGACAAAATAACCACACCTGTCCACTTGGAAGTAAACAATCTACAAGGTGGAAAGTAAATCAGCCCTGTGTTTACTTTCCATTGAAAAAACAAAAAAAAAACCTAGACCACTAGAATGAGTAAGTTTGCTAGAGTATGATTTCTATTCTACAGCATAGCTAATACATTTGATGTATTCTACATTAAATATACCTCAAGGATTTTGGTTGTTTTTTTGAGATAGGGTCCCTGTAATCCTAGGTACTCAGCCTCCTGAGAGCTGAGGATCTTGGGTGCAAACTAGCCTGGGCAGGAAAGTCCCTGTAAGTGAGACTCTTATCTCCAATTAACCACTCAAAAACTGGAAGTAGTGCTGTGGCTAAAGTGGTTCAGTATTTGCCTTGAGCACGAAGAAGCTCAAGCAACAGCACCCAGGCTGTGAGTACAACCCCTACAACTGACAAAAAAAGATGAGTGCGATTTAGAGCTTTCCTTAGGGGTGAGGTCCCTCTGTTCAACAGTGTGAATAGTAACAGAAAAGCTCTAAGAAAACCTGTTTTCACATACAGGTTAACTATTTAAATCATCTGAAGTTCTAAGAGCTCTCTGGTTTTTTTTCCTCAAAAACTCAAATCTTCTTCCAGGGGGATTCTTGGTCGTAACTTCTTGAAAATTATTATTTGTGTCTATCTCTGACAAAATATACGGAAGCCATTCCAGACCAGGAACTATTCCTTACGAGCACCCTTACTTAGCACCTACCCATTGGACTCTCCATCGTTCATTAATGCCTTGATCACCAAAGGTAACTCAGATTTCACTATGAAGAGGTAGCTTGACATAGCTGGAGGAGAAACATAATTAGACTATTACAAGCTGCAAAATGAGGCCTTGTCACCTTAAACAAAATTAAATGAATAAATCCTTACCTCCAATATTCTGCATTGTGATTGATCCAGAGGCAGCTAGCTTTCCAACTATTCCAAATGCCTTATGCCCCAACTGCTCATATGATAAAGACCCTACAATAAATGAGAAGAACACAGAAACTTCATGAAGGAAGCAGTTCTGTAAGAGGGAAAAAACATCACGAAGAGGGAGAAATTACTGAAGAAAAATCAAGAACACAACATACCTCCTTCATTGGCAGTCTTTAAAAGGAGATGTACAGAATAGAGGGAAAATATTGACACAAATGTCAAGAGAATTCTGGTGAGAAAAGAGAAAGGCAGAGTTATATACAAGCAGGGCAATTCATGACAAGTAGACTTTGTTTCAGTAACATTCAATAAGGATATCTTATTTGTGTCAAAATGATCCCCCAAAACTAGCGTGTTCCCTTTCCTACTAGTTGGAATAACAACTTCATCTTTCTATGTGTCAAGTGACAGTTGTAGTATTAAGTAGTAAGAGGAAGGATTCACTGTGTAAAAAACCGAAGTAGCTGAAGACCCAATGTCCCTGCATAGCCATGAGGCATATTCTAGTTTTGGTACCACAACAGCTATCTATATACTTGTCATGTCTCTCTATACTTTCCATTTTGTTTCTTTGTCTACATTCTGAAATGTGGTCTTCATCTGGAAATGCTTGGTAAAAAAAATCTGCCGTTAAACCCAGTTCACAAGGCTTTTTTGGGTGTGAAATTCAATTGTGGCAGGAAAGGTCTAGAAACTAAAGAAAGAAGGGAAATGATACTATCATTTCTAGTGTCAGATACTAACAAACTTTATTAATGGAGCACAGTCAGACAAGGAACCACTGTGAGGCAATCCTACACTGCACTCTGGGTTCTCCAAAGACAGGCAGCTGTGTTGCAAATTAAGCAATGCTGAGCTGTTGCCAGGGGCTTACAACTACAATCCTAGCAACTCAGGAGGCTAAGATCTGAGAATCATGGCATGAAGCCAGCACAGACCAAAGTCTGAGGTTCTTTAAACACCACAAAGCTGGAAGTGGAGGTGTGGCTCAAGTGGTAGAATGCCAGCCTTGAGCAAAACAACTAAGGGACAGTGCCCAGGTCCTGAGCCCAAGCCCTAGTACTATCGCAACAAAAAAGCAAAAACATGCCTGTGTTAGACCAAGTAGGCTATTAGCTTCATCTAGTAAGCTGTCCCTTACTTGAGTAAGAAAAGGGAAAGAGTTCAGGGTAGAACTAAAAAAAACCCTAGTGCCACTTAATTCTCCTTTAACGTGACTTTTTTTTTCTTTCCACTTTCCTTCTAATCATGAAAGCAGACAAAGGAAGTCAAGTCTGATGGTGCATGCTTCTAAGAAGACTGAGGCAGCATTGTAAACTTTCAGCTAGACTATTATATAGTAAGACCCTGTCTCAAAACAAGGGGGTCCCCAGGCACTGGTGGCTTATAATCTGAGCTACTCAGAAGGCTAAAATGTAAGGATCATGATTTATAACTAGCCCAGGCCACAAACTCTGTGGCTTTTTAATTAGCCAATAAAAAGCAGGAAGTGGAGCAGTGGCTCAAGTGGTAGAGCAGCAATCTTGAACAATAAACTTAGGGGATGGTGTGCAGGTCATGAGTTCAAGTCCTAGTATAGCTACACAACAGGAATCAAAGGAAGGACTAAAGAGTAAAAAAAAAATCCAGGGAAGTAAAAAAAACAAAAAAACAAAAACACTATCACAATCTTTTGTGAGTTTTTATTCTATATGGCCAATCTGCACACCACATGTAACATGCCAGCAAAGGAATTCATGTTTAAAGACAAAGGAATTCATGTCTAAAGACTGAAATGTAGGAGGCAGTCCTGAGCTACATTTATTGGTTTAACTGAAAATAAGTGAACTCCTTTCATGTCTTACTCAAAACTGAGGGACAAATGGACTTTACATCTTTCGTGGTTACTTTCAACTTAAGATAGGTTCTACTTAAGCTGGAGTGATTTAAGATAAGCAGTCTTGTGGCTTTTGCGTCATCTTACCTCTAAATACAATGCAAATACAGATGAATAAAAAACTCACGCAATGTTGTTATCATTTAGCCATTTATTAAAATGGTTAAACACATAATAAGCTTAGTAACATCAACAGTTTTGCTTTTGTGACAGTTTCCATTGAGTCTCCTTCCAATTCTCTAGTCACACTTTAAAAACTGCTTCTAGTTTTGATACCAAGAGTTAAGGGTTTCAAATAGTGACAGAACTCACCATTCAAGTTTCCCACTAAAAAACTTTGAAATTCTAGGACTCTTTCTGTGTAAATAGCTGCCCTTCATCTAAGCTCAATTAAACAAGCTCCAATGAATCCTGCCTTCATTCAGGTCTCCAAGCTAGGCTTAAAAAGTCTCAGTGTGGAATTTCTCAAAAAGCAGTGACTTGCAGAGGTGCTTGCCTTTGGATAAACAGTCTATTGTGCTCAAGAAAATAACTCGAGATGGCACCAATCAGCTAATAGAAAAAACAGTCACAAAAGGGACAGTTGCATGCCCAGTTTTCCTCATCTGTACCGTGAGCACATTAAGTCAAAGGGCTATCTGCAGAAAATGATTTAGCTGACAGTCTACAGGTACTTAAAGGTTATGGCTACAGCATTAACATCACTGAAAAAACACTTGCTCAGAACTACATGTACTTTGGTGCCTACTCTGCTAGAAATAGGGGTGGCTGGTTTCCTTATTCTACAACTAGCCAAAAAGTCCAAAATGTTTGTTAAAAATAACTCTTCTTATACCTTCAATATGGACAGCTAATTCTTAACTAGGTTAACTGGAGGGAAAACGTTTAAAAACTGGTATTTATTACAATCATTTGGGAATCTCAGAGCTGAAAAAAGTGCATTTGAGAAAATATGCATGTAAATTACTTTTCAGTTATGACTCATTTGTCCTAAGGCAAACATGTTCCAGGTGAGTTATATATCACCACACCTCACACATTCAGAATTTTCTTTTCCTTACGCATATGAGGCCATAGGTCCTAGGGAAGAACTTTTCAATTATCAAACTCATCTGGAGGCATCAAGTTACTAGCAACATTTGGCTTTTCCTCCACCAGTAGAAAAATCTATTGTTACCCTAGACTTACCCATTTTTGTTTTCATTATCTAGTCATCTATTAAAACTTGTTAACTATTTCCATTTACTTAGCAAGACTTTGGGCTTCATTTGTCAGTTGTTAAGTAATACCGGATGTTCCCTAATTGGCTTCCTTGGCATTATACAATATGTAGCAAAATAAAGAGATTTAGCTGTGTCATACTTTCTTTTAATGTTAAGCAATTGTTAAGTCACTATGTGAACTTTTAAATTCAGTTTCTGGAGCCAAAGTACTATGCTTTTAATCATATTAACTACCCTGCACAACAGACTCACTTACACATACTTACATAAAAAGAGCAATTCCAGTATTAGCCATGGCAAAAGAAAGCCCAAGGATTCCACTGCCCACAATCGCATTGCTCAGATTAAATACTGACATTCCAAAGGAAGTAGTACCTGGATTCTATACAGAGGGAAAACGATAACCAAACATATAACAATAATTAAATGGAGAACACCAGCTTTGGGCAAGTTAGATTTGAAATCTAAAAGTACAACTATGCTTTTTACTCCATTAAACCTCAGATACACAAATGATTATGGTTAACTTACAAAGTCTGATTCATACTTCTTCTTCCCCAAATTTGATTCAAGTAAAAAGTTCTGGTTTTCAGGATCGACATCAACATAATGGCTGTTAAAAAAAACACAAACACACACAATAATTTTAAGTTGCCTTTCTGAGCTGGACATAAATTACCTTTTTTTTTTTTTTTGTTGGTCCTGAGGCTTGAACTCAAGGCCTGGGCACTGTCCTTGAGCGTCTTTTGCTCAAGGCTAATGCTACAACACTTGAGTCACATCTCCACTTCCGGCCTTTTCTGAGTCGTTCACTGGAGGTAAGACAGATTTCTGGCCTGGTCTGGCTTCAAATGCAAATCCTCAGATCTCACTCTCCCGAGCAGTGAGGATTACAGGCGTAAGCCATAGGCACTCGGCTAGAAATTATCTTACACTCACTGCACTAACTCAACAAATGGGACTCTTCCAAATGCCATGGTCACCCAGAAAAACAGAAGCGAGGTCCTCAGATGTGTGAAAGCCTGTTAGTCTGTTAGTGCACTACTTTATGTCTGTGCTGAGGCTTGAACTCTGGACCTCATACTCTCCTGGGTTTTTTGGTGTGTTTTGTTTGTACCCCAAGAGGCACAGCTCCACTTTGGCATCTGGATGGAAAGTCTCACAGACTTTCCTGCCCCTGGGCTGGCTTTGAACCACGATCGTCAGATCTCAGCCTCTTGAGCAGCTAGGATTACAGACGTGAGCCACCAGGGCCCCCGTTTTCATGTATTTAGCGACGGTAAGAGCCCAACGTCTCCCACCTTTTCAGAGCAGCTTGCTTGGTGGGGTAGGAGTAGTTGAAGTCGCTGTTGGAGCTGTAACTGCTGCTGTCCTCATCGGGGGAAATATTGAACCTTCCCATTTGGGTTTTCTTCATGCTGAGCATGGACGGGAATGAATCCGGGTGCGGCGGAGCTCAGGCGGGGCAGGAGAGAGCAGCGCGGGGGGCTCCTTTTGTCCTTGGCTGAAATGCAGCGGGCCCTCGAGGAGGCTCAGCCTGGAAGGTAGAGGCGGCGCGTCAGGACCGCAGCGCCCGCCCCGCCCGGGTCACGTGACGCCCGCCGGGGCGGGCGCCGCGGCGGCTGATTCATCCCCGGCCAGGCGAGTGGAAAAGTACCAGCCTCGCGCGAGGGGCGGGGGCGCGCGCCGAAGGGCGGAAAAGTACCGACGGTGCGGGGCCGCCACCGCCGAGAACAAAGATGATCCCACCACGGTGCGGCGCCCGCCCGCCCGCCCTGCCCAGGACACTTCCACAGGGAGGTCGGGCACTTCACCCTCTCTCCATTGTCCCGTCCCAAGGGGTGGACGGGGCGGGCGGGGGAAGGGCACGAGGGAGGAGGGGGAGGTTCTGCTCCTGCTGCACCCCTGCGGCCCGGATCGTGCACAGGCACGCCAGGCGCGCACACCACACACACACACGGCCCTGGCACCGGATAAGCAGGCATGCACTCCCCCCCACTCGCCACCTCTCCACCAGCATGGGGGGGGGGCGCAGCAGTCCCGCCCCGGGGTTCCTTCTGGCTCTGCGCCCCCCCACCCCCGATGGGGAAGTGTCTCTGCGGCACCGAAGCCCCCCCCCCCCCCGAGACGGTGGGGAGGCAGAGTCCCCCTCCCGACCTCCCCCCCCCGTCTCGCGCGCTACAGCGGGTTTGTTTACACGCGGCCTCTCCCCCCCCCCCCCCGAGTCCACCAGCGCGCGGGGCGCCGGCGCCCGCGTCTGCCCCACCTCGCCCCTCCTATACCCGGAAAGAAACTGATGCAATATCGATCTCCGATTGTCAAACGTTCCCGCTTCCCCCCCCCCCTACACACACACACACACACACACACACGTCTTCCTCAATCTGGGGTTCCCCATTACAATGAAAAGTCCACCCACCCACGACTCCGGGACCCCCAATTAATTTTTTTTTCTCTAATGAATGCAAATCCAGTCACAAGACTTGCCGCAACGGAGCCGCGGGCTGGGAGGGCTCCCTTCCCCCCCCCCTTCTCCCCAACCCCGTCCAACCGCGAGACGCGGGCGCCCGGCCCGCGTTCTGCACCCACCCCTCCATCGGCCACCTTTCCCCTCCCCGAGCCCCGGGACGGGTGCTCACCGAGAACAGCCGCCCGCCCGCCCGCCGGGAGGAAGTGGGGGGCCCCCCGCGCCGCCTTCCCGCCGCGGCCGCTCCCGCCGCCCTCCCCCCCCCCACCCCGCCTGGGCCCGAGCCCGCCGCACCGACGTCCCCCGTTACCTCGGTGGTCTCCGGATCCAAAACAAAACCAAAACTCAAGGAAAGGTCTCCGACGTGTCGATCAAAACCAAAAAAAAAATCGTTTACGATAACAACAAATCTTAAAAAAAAAAATCCCTCCCCAAATCCGAAGACAGGCAAGAAACACGATTTTAATTAAAAAAAAAAAAAAAAAAGGTCTAAATGGCCGCCCCAGTCCTCCGACGGCCACCGGGTCCGGGGAAAGGCGCGAGTGTGCGGGGACGCGTGGTCAGCCTGCGCTCGCGGCGCTGCAGGTCCGGCAGGCGGGGTTCGGGGCGGCGGCGTGGCGCGGTCTGGAGCCGCTCGGGGAGCGAGCGGGGATTATAGCGGCTCCCGCCGACGCGTCAGTGGGCGGGGCTCGGCCTGGGTGCGGAGTCTTTGTGTATCAACACCACCTGGGCTCCGCCCCTTGCCCGCCCAGCTCCGGGAGGGGGGCCGCCCGCCCCGAATCCCACCCCCACCTACCCGGCGCCCCGCGCTTCCCCCGGCGGCCGCCAGGAGCAGGCCGTCCCGCCCGAGGCGCCCCGGACCTCCGGGTCCGGGCTGGGGCTCCTCTGCGTGCGCGCTCACTCCTGCCCGGCCGGGTGCCCACCGGCACGCGGGTGTACCCACGGTGCGTGCTTTTCGGGGGAACCCGTCCATCCGAGGCCAGCGGGGCCGGGCAGGAGAGGGGCGCGGTGTGTAAGGGGATACATCCGAGCCCTCCACCTCTTCCTTTGCTCCTTGTGATGCTTTAGATGGTTAAGATGGGAATATCTCTCGCGTAAACTTAAATCCCGGCAGCAGTATTGTCGTCCCCCGCCCCCCCCCCCCCGCACTCCCCACTTTTTGTGGGTCCGTTTCGACTCGAAGTGCTTGACTTTTTGCACCTTAGTCTGGGTTCAATCCTCCAACTGAGCTTCCTGAGGTCCCGTTGGCAGCCACGTGTGGGGATACCATGTTTGGAAAACCCTCCAAGGGAACCAGGAACCTTGAGGGGACGGGCTGGGGTTAGGCGAGCTGGGCAAGGAGGGAGAGATGACCATGGGCGGTGGTGACACGCATCCAGCGAGTGGTACCCCTAAACTGGCGTGTCGACATTGAACCCCCCCTTTGCACAGCTGCTTCGCCAGGAAAAACTTAACTTGTGAGGGGAGGCGAGCTACATTCGATCAGAGAAGGGGAGTCGGGGGACCGTGTTGCGAGGAGGTGGAACGTGGAGGCCCAGCTCTCCCGAGCCTTCCAGGAGCTCCCCAGTTTCCCTTCATTCCACCTTCCCACCCCCGGCTGCACAGAGTACTTGTTCATCTCAGTTCGCCTTTTCCTCCCAGGCATTCTATTGGGGAGCTCCTGGGTTGGAAAGCTAGTCCGTGGCTTCCTCCCCAGCCTCGTTCTCTTTCCTTCCAGGGTGGGGTGAAACTTGAAAATCTAGGGGCCCCCCTTCAAGTGAAGTGCATGGGGGCTGCCCGGAAAAGCCTGAGCCCTTCCCTTGAAGGAAACAAAAGACCCCCCAAGGAGCAGAAATGTTAGTTGAATGAAGGAATAAACAAATTGACCTACTGATCCCTTCCTTTTGGAGACGTGGAGGACCTTGGGCAGGGCATAGAGGAAAGGGTTGGGTGTAATTACAATTTTTGCTTTCAATGTTTTCCTGAGGAAATCTGTACAGCTGCCTATTTCCGTGGCACGTGAGACTTAGGGTGCCTTCAGCCGCGGTGCCAGTGTTCTTGATTGACAAGGGGAGGACTCGATTTCCCCTTTTATTCTCACAGTTTGTGCTCCCCACCCTAAACCTATTCTGGTCAGACCAGTCACACTGAAACAGCTTTAGGACCAAGCGTTTCCCCTCACCCTTCTCAAATGCCACCAGCCCTCAAGGCTTAGTCATGGAGCTCCAGGAAACCCTCGATCTACCTGCAGTAATACCTTCCTTTTCAGACCTTTTTTTCCAGGAAAATGTGCACAGGACTCTTAAAAAAAAAACAACCTGTATTTTCTTGTATGGTACTCAGATCGTTCAAATTGTTTCTCTAGGGAGATTGTGACAGCTCCAAAGGCAGGTTTTGAATTGACATACAATTAGGGCTGAAAAATCTTAATTATCTTTCTTTCTACATACATTGCTTAGTAAGACCAATCAAAGAATTCTTGTCAGAACAATCCTGGTGATGGGTTCAAAAGGATTCCAGGGGTCTGGGAATGTGGCTTAGTGAACCCTTGGGTTTAATTCCTCAATACCAGATACACAGAAAAAGCTGGAAGTGGCGCTGTGGCTCAAGTGGTAGAGTGCCAGCCTCCAGCAAAAACAGCTCAGGGTTAGTTCCCAGGCCCTGAGTTCAAGCCCCAGGACTAGCCAAAAAAAAAAAAATTCCTAGGAAATTCCTTTAAACTAAGGGTCCACTGATAAGAGGGGGGGGGGTAGGTATATCTTAAACCATTTTTTATACTAGATGATTTGCTGGTCATTTTTCTGTCCAGCCAGAAATGAAGGTTTGTGATGATGGGTCGTAGTTTGTACTGTAACTAGACTTATTGTCCTTAAAGACTTTCTGGTGCTTTGAATTATAGTACATATTTCAGAGACAAGTAGTTTGTGTGTGTGTCCATGTGTGCCTATATAACAGGGGTATATAACTGAAAGTTCAGGACCTGAACAATAAATAAATGTCCTTTTTTTTTTTTTAAAAAGCACCCATTTGATTTGTCTTTTCAAGGGCTAAAGTGCATCCATTAACACAATTGATTTGCAACTGAGGTTTGATGTGCTTTGGATTTTCACTGTAATACTTCAGTTACAATATATGAGACACAGTTCACTCAGTCAATTACTGGCACAACCAAATAAGGTGATTATCAGAGTGCTAGGATTTTGACTTCTAGTATTCTAGAAGTTTTTCAAACTGCAGAAAGGGAACAAGTAGTAGATTGATGAATTCCTACCAGCTTATTTTATTTCCTTTCCCACCCTCCCTTTCTTCTTTCCTTCCTCCTTTTCCTTATTTTCTTCTTCCTTCCTTCTTTCTTTCCTTTCCTGCTATGCCCATACTAGGGCTTGAACTCAGGGACTGAGTTCCTTCCTTTAGCTTTTTTGCTCAAAGCTAGCTAGAACTCTGCCACTTCCAGCTCTTTGGTGGTTAATTAGAGATGAAGACTGGTGGACTTTCCAGCCCGGCTGGATTCAAGCCTCCATTCTCAGAACACAGCCTCCAGAATAGCTGGGATTCTAGGCATGAGCCACTGACACCTGGCTTATTATCATTATTATTTTCTTTACTGCATTAGAATGGAATAGAAAAAAAAATACTACATGTTATTCTGTAGAACTGAATAACTATGGGGGGAGGGAGATTCTGCGTTGTGATGTAAAATGTCTTCTTGCTGGATGCTGGAGACCAAAGAATTCTGAAAGTTGAGTTTACTAGTTATCCTGAGACAGACAGTCACAGAGAAGTTGTTCACTCTGACAAGGATGCATTGTCAAGGGAGGTTGTTAAGTTGGTTTTAGTGAGAGCAGATAACTATAATACCATTGTTTACTTATTAAAATAGAGTGTTTCTCTTTCCTGGGGCTATTTACTAGTTGTTGCTAACTGTCTCAGCTTGTTAAATAGCTGGTCTTTAGGATAACCTTTAAAATTCTGTTTATTCAGTACTTCAGTATGCTCAAAGGGTAGTTAAATGTTAAATTTGCTTCTCTTTACTCTTCCTTTCTAATTAGTCTCATTCTTGGATTGGCTTCCATGACTTTCCTTGATCTGGCTCAGCTTGTGTTTCCATTATATAGGCACCTTCTTAGAGAGACCCTCAAGTAACTGCCTCCAGGTCTCATACCATTTTATAATCCCTTCTCATTGAATATGGATTGGTCCAAATGAGGTACTACTACTAGGCAAAAGTTATGGCAGGTCACTTCTGAGACTAGGTTACAAAAAGACTGTGGCCTCCTCCTCTGTCTCTAAGTTGATATCTGGCAAAACTGAGCAGCACCTGACCAATCAGCTGGAAGGCTGATCTTGCTCAGACATTCTAGGTAAAGAAATGATAATACATGTTTATTATTTTAAGCCACTGTTTGGGCATTCTTTGCAACTGATAGACAACTAATAGATTCTGTAAGATATGCTTTTGCTAAAATGTATTGTTCAGTGTTTCAATAGAAACAACTCAAATTGTTCCCACTGCTTAGAATATTCTTTATGCCTCCATTTCTCTGACATTCTAAAATATCCCAACTCTATCTTCCCTTAGAGATTCAACTTAAAAACATCTTTCATAAACTTCTTTATTCGACGTTTCCCATTTGAGACTGGTTTCATTCTCCTTTCAGCTTACAGCTTTGAAAATACCTTTTTTTTTTTTGTCGGTCGTGGGGCTTGAACTCTGGGCCTGGGCACTGTCCCTCAGCTCTTCAGCTCAAGGCGAGCGCTCTACCACTTGAGCTACAGCGCCACTTCCAGTTTTCTGGTGGTTTATTGAAGATAGGAGTCTCAAGGTCTTTCCTGCCCGGGCTGGCTTTGAACCGCGATCCTCAGATCTCAGCCTCCTGAGTAGCTAGGATTACAGGCGTGAGCCACCAGCGCCCGGCCCATGAAAATACCTTTTTCTTCCTTCTTTCTTTCCCTTCCTTCCGCCTTCTCTTCCTCCTCCCTTCCTTTCTCACCCTTTTTCCTTTGTTTGTTCATTCTGTGCTGGTATTGGGGCTTGAATTCAGGGCCTTGAGCTCTGGTTTAGCTTTTTCCAATTAAAGCTGATGCACTGTCATTTAAGCCACACATCCACTTCTTTTTGCTGGTTAATTGGAGAGAAGACTCTTAGACAATTTCTAACCAAATTAACTTCTAATCGTGATCCTCAGATCTCCTGAGTAACTAGGATCACAGGCACAAGCTTCCAGCTCCCAGGGCAGGACTTTTTGTGTTGTATATGTACTTGATTTTTGTGTACAGGTAATACTATAGAAAGACACTAATGGGCTGGAAATGTGGTTCAGTTGTAGAATGCTTGCCTGGCTGTCATGAAGCCCTGGGTTCGATTCCAAAGTACCACAGAAACAGAAAAAGCCAGAAGTGGTGCTGTGGCTCAACTGGTAGAGTGCTAGCCTTGAGCAAAAGAAGCTCAAGGACAGTGCCCAGGCCTGGAGTTCAAGACCCAGGACTGGAAAAAAAGAACAGAAAAAGAAAAATGAAAAAAAGGAGAGAAAAAAAAAAAGACACTTTAGCCTCTATGTGACTATACCCTATCTAGTCACTTGTAAAAGCAAGTTTTTTTTTTTTGAACAAGGTTATTTTTGAATATATAAATGAATTCAGTATGCTCCTCCTTGCCTTTTTAATACTCATTATTACTGGGAAATTTTGTTAAATTTGTTTTCTATTTGTCTCCCTTACTAGAATATAAGCCCATGAGAGCAGGAACTTAATTGGTTTTGATCACTATCAGGCCATAAGTAAATGAAGGAAATTTATAGAATCAGTAGAAACCTAGTAGCTAATACGTCTAAAGGGCATTTATCTTATCTCTTACAGGCCAAAGAACTTCTTGTTTCCTTATTCAAGCTGTTCATTTTCTTTCCAATTTAAAAGATTAACACCAAGATGCATAAGGGAGCTCAGGACCCAAACCAGGCAATCTTTTTAGAACTCACAGCGTTGTGTTTGCTAGGCAAGCCCTCTGTTACTTGAACCATACTTCTGGTCTTTCAGCCTTTAGTTTGTTTTTCAGATAGGGTCTTGTGCTTTTGCCTGGACTGTCTTTGGATTCTTCTGCCTCCTGAGTAGCTTGGATTACAGGTATGTTCTATTACATTCTGCCCCAAGGAGTTGTTTTGAATTCTTCGTTTGAGTTTTCCTTTCCTTCAGTCCATCAGCATGTCTTGAAGGCTTTGCTTCAAATATAAGCAGAATCTTCACACTTTTTGCCATCTTTAATATAGTGGTTCTAGCCTCAGTGGCCATCAGTTCTTTTCCTGGATCACAGCTTCACTGTGCGTGAACTTCCATGCTTTGTTGCTCAGCGTCCAAGATCTCAGAACATACGTGAATTTTTTTTCTTCTTTTCCTGAAAAGGACAAATCATTTTCTTTTCTTAAGGCTCTCCAGTAACTTTTTAAAGCAATCAGAATAAAATCAACTCAAACTGGCGTTAGCTATCCTCAACTTCATCTCCGATTCCTTTCAGTGTGCACACACACTGATTTTCTCTCACACAAGCATACATTAAGCTGTTCCTTTTCTGAGGTTTTGCTCCTGTGATTCCTTCTACCTGAAATCTTGCCTTTATCTCCGCGTGGCTGTCATCTCATGACCTCAAAAGAATCTCCTTTGACTATTCCAGCCAAAATCTATACTCTGAAATGCCATTTATTCATTGCTTTGATTTACTTTCATTGCATTGCTACGCGACATGGAAATGTAGGCTTATTTTTTATTTGCTTATGATCTTTTCTTTCTACGTATCCCCAATCCCTTTCTTGTTTTATTTTCATATATATGCATATGTATGTGTGTACATACACACATATTGAGAGAGAGAATGTGTGTACACTGGGGCTTAAACTTGGGGCCTTAAGCACTGTCCTTGAGCCTCTTTACTCAAGGCTAGTGCTCTACCCCTTGAGTCATAGCTCCATTACTGTTTGTTTGTTTTATATATATATATAAAATTGGAGATAAGAATCTCATGGATTTCCTGCTCAGGCTGGCTTTGAACTGAGATCTTCTTCAGATCCTGCTGAGTAGCTAGATTACAGGCATGAGCTACCAGCCCAGCCTCTGCAGTGTTCATTTCATATAGGAAAAGACTGGTTTTGTTTATTGCTGAAACTTCAGTGCCTAGCACTGGTAAGTAGATGGGCAGAACCAAAGTGCTGAATTTATATACTTAACTTCCTTAGAACATAACTTGCATTAGCTATAATGACTATACTACAAAAGGAGTGTTTTGCTTTTGTTTTGTTTCTGCAGACCCAGGCTTCTACAAATTACAAGCCTGAAAATGCATTCAAAGATTGGTTTTCTAATGGCTCCATTTCACCTATTAAGTGACCCTTTCCTATGTATCCAATCTGATTCCTTTGTTCCAAGACAGTGTTATTCAGAGTTCAAGCTTGAACACTACATTATAGAAAGATAATAAAGTTTCTTTTTCTCCCCTCCCTCTTCCTCTAAGCCACACCTTTCCCTCTATTTCCCAGGAGTTTCATATTTTCTTAGTTATTTAACTTTTAAATCGTCAAAAAGTGTATATAATGTACAATGTTTTGCAATAGGTATACATTTGAGCTAATTAATATATGCATTCTGTCTTTGGTAAGGGCAATTAAAATCTACTCTCAGAATTAAAATGAAACAAATGCTTATTAATTATAGACACCACAGTGAACAATGGATCTCTTTAATTTATTCCAGTTACTTAAATGAAATTTCCTATCTTCTAACCAGCCATGCCCTGATGTCCTGGTATCTAGTCTTCATCATTCCACTATTTCTATAAGTTTAAGTAGTTTAAAGTCCACATCTCAGTGAAATCATGTACAGTAAGTTGTCTTCCTATGTTTGATTCATTTCATTAAGGAAGACTACTTCCCGTTTTATTCAAGTTGCATTCTAATATTATTCTTTATATTAATCCCTTCATATTAATCTCTTCTTAATACTAATCCCTTCCAGGTTCCTTAATATCTCCTAGGTCCTTTAGCAAATTCCTTTCTCAATTATTTCTTTTTTTTCTTCTTCTTTTGTGCCCATCTTGGGGCTTGACCTCAAGGCCTAGGTGCTGTCCCTTAGCTTTTTCCACTCAAGTCTTGTAGAAGGTCTATGGATAGGCAGGAGGTTCTGGGATTAATTCTTGGCCATGTGAGACTAAAACCTCATGTTTTTCTTCACTCAGACTTCTCCAAAATGCTGGGAATATTTCAGTCATAGTTCCAGTGTTGGGCGTGGGGGGCAGATTTTAGGCAGGCAGGACCATTTGGTGGGGGTGGGGAGGCTAGGGAAAAGTGTCAATTCTGTGAGGCAATTGTATTATGAGGTAATATTTCCTTGAAGTACGATTGTTGCTGTCATATATACCATGATCAGGGATATTATATTGGGAATCCATATGTTTGTAAGAAATCAGTATTTGGCAAATAGGTGCTAATGTTTTTCAGCAAAAATAAAATTTGATGCCTACAGAAACCCAATCTTCAAAAAAAAAAAAATGCTTAAAGAGAGCTAGGAAGGTGACTTAGGTAGAGTGCTTGCCTTGCATGCATGAAGCCCTGGGTTCAATTCCTCAGCACCACATAAGCAGAAAAAGCCGGAAGTGGCACTGTGGCTCAAGTAGTAGAGGGCTCTCTTTGAACAGAAGAGCTGAGGGACAGCACCCAGGCCCATAGTTCAGGTCCTATGACTGACCCCCCCCCAAAAAAAAAAATTTTAGAGAAATATTGAGATAGCTTTACTGATATTTTACTATAATTATATTTAATATTATCCAGAGAACTAGAATTAGTACTCAGGTTTTTCTGATCTTCCCAAATAAGAGAGAAGCAAAGATTTGTGTAAATTTTTGTTGCTTTAAAAAAATATTTCTATATTTACCAATGGTCTTTTCATGTAACCACAGTGTGATCTATTTTGCTAGGTAGATTATATACTAATGAATGTAAAAGGAAACAGTGGCAGAGAGATGAAGTATTTATTGATCATGGTTCTTTCTGAATAAACAGGCACCTGCAAATTAGTAACAACCAGGTTGGAAAGTGAAATGTGAAGGAAAAATCACAGATGAAAGTTCTCATTGTCCTGCTTCCGGAAGATTCAGCATGGGCTAAGGGTCACACTGACATTCAAGAAATCAAGGTGTATATATCTTTTTTTTTTTTTTTTTCCGGTCGTGGGGCTGAACTCTGGGCCTGGGCACTGTCCCTCAGCTCTTCAGCTCAAGGCTAGCGCTCTACCACTTGAGCCACAGCGCCACTTCCGGCTTTTTTTTCTTTTTGCTTATGTGGTGCTGGGGAATCGAACCCAGGGCCTCATGCATGCAAGGCAAGCACTCTACCACTGAGCCACCTTCCCAGCCCCAAGGTGTATATATCTTAGTGAAGATGTCTTACTGAATCACACACTATGTTCCATTACTTTGTGTGTGTATGTGTATCTACTGGGTGTGAACTTAAGTCCTTGAACTTTTCTCTTAGCTTTTCAGTCAAAGCTAGCACTCTACTACTTGAGCCACAGCTCCACTTGTGGCTTTTTTACTGGTTGAGATAAAAGAGTCTCAGGGACTTTTCTGCCGGGGGTGGGGGGGGGGTGGGGGTGGGGTGGGGGGGGTGGGGGGGGTGGGGAGGGGCTTTGAACCTTCATCCTCAGATCTCAGTCTCCTGAGTAGCTAGCTAATGTTAACAACAGATGTGAGCCACCAGCACCTGGCTACTGTACATTGAAAAAAAATTAAATTGCAGATCTTTATCATTTTCCAAAAATAAGACGATTTAAAAATATTTTTATTTTTGCAACTTAATTATTAGCAGTTTTATCTTTTTTTGTCGGTCATGGGGCCTGAACTCTGGGCCTGGGCGCTGTCCCTCAGCTCTTCAGCTCAAGGCTAGCGCTCTACCACTTGAGCCACAGTGCCACTTCCGCCTTTTTCTGCTTATGTGGTACTAAGGAATCGAACCCAGGGCCTCATGCATGCAAGGCAAGCACTCTACCACTGAGCCGCCTTCCTAGCCTCAGTTTTATCTTCTTGTCCAAGGAGAAAAAGACAGCCACTGAATCAATCCAAGTGTTCTCCCCACACGGTATATGGTGAACCTACCTTTCTGGCTTTCATTCCATTTCCAGATCTTTCATGGCCCAGGGCTAAGATACTGAAGTTATTAACATTAACATACCTGCAATTCTGGTTCGTAGAGGGAAAGAATTTAATATTTGGGCTTGTTCTGAGATCTTCACTCCTGTAAAATTCCCTGGAATCTTTGGCACTTTTTATCTGCTGTTGGCACCTTCATTTGGTTCCTAAGAACCCACTTTGAGACACCTGGGAGCATGAATGTCACTTTTCTACCTTACTCCACTTTGGACAAAACCAACCAATCAAATCCATCTCGTCACCAACAGCTCACAGTTTGTTTTCTACAGGTGAACCATGAACACAGCACACACTCCACTGAGGGTGAAATAATATCACTTTGTAGCTATCCCCGCCACCCCCAATGGATGAGGCCCACAAAACTCTTCAAAAATTGTTCTCTGAAGAATCAATTTTGGCTGGGCATCAGTGGCTGACGA